CCCCCCCGTCTCTGTGTGTGTGTGTGTGTTTAAAGGCTGAATTATTATTAGGCAACCCTAAAATCTTACAAGATTTTTATTTGGTTTTAAGTTGTTGCTTTAGGAATGCCTGGGTTTACCATGTTGCTGATCCCTGATTTACTAAATGACCCACAATTATTTAGCATGAATAATATGCTAAGCCATAAGCAAATCACATTCTGTTTTATCACTAGGCAAAAAAAAGGCTTGTTATTGCAGAAGTAACTCCAAATTCCAGGGCAGGAATAAACAACATTTTGTAGATACCCGGGGAACCAAAACATATTATTCAATATTTTGTGATAAAATTAAAATAATGAGATTCTGTTTTAGCATACAAGAAATCTTCTCCCTTAGGTAGCTGTTTCTGAGTGGTAGATCTTTATATTCCCAATAGCAGGACTAGAATGTATGATCTATGCCAGGCACCTCAGAGGTGCCATTTTAACTCGACTAGCAAGCCCTGGGAATAGTTCTGTCATGGGGGCGCAACTCAGCTATAGTACAAGTATAGCCCCCAGTTCCAATAACCTCCCAGAAATTCCAAATGCTGATACTATGATGGAAATGGAGTTTCCCTTAATTGGTACCTCTTAAAATTGAGAACCAGTTTGGTCTAGAGGGTAGAAAGTAGGAGACATGAGTTCAAGTCCCACCTTATTCAGCTGGGTGATCATGGGCCAATCATTCTCTCTCAGACCAACTGAGGAACTGGGGAAAATAGGAGAAGAAAGGTATTGTAGGAGATGACCAGCCTGAGCCTGAAGGAAGGGTGTCATCAGTCATGAATACCTTCATGCCCATAAGAGATCTAAATCTAGCCTACCTTGACTTCCTTTGACTCTTATCTACCTCCAATTTGCTTTGGCTGTTGGTAGTTCAGATTCTTGTAGAGAGCTTAAGCTTGCAATAAATCTTTATACCCATTTGAACTGCCTGGATCTTCTGATTTCTCTGGCGCTTGACAGGTGTGGTGGATATGTTCACTGACTTCAATTATTTGTGAAACTAATAAAGGTGAGATATAAATGAACGAATGAAAATGCTGAGCTTCTCTTATCATCCCCATCTAGAAGGGCCAATTTTGAGGACACTAGTTTAGAAGAAGTAGAACTAATGCTTTGGACAATGGAAAGTCTATTATTTAGTGGCAAGATTGGCAAGGTTCTTCCATTGGAACAACAACAACAACAACAACGACGATAATAATAATAATAATAATAATAATAATAATAATAATATAATAATATAATAATAATATAATAATAATAATAATAATAATAATAATAATAATAATAATAATAATAATAATAATAATAATAATAATAATAATAAAGTTGGAAGGGATCTTGGAGGTCATTTAGTCCAACCCCCTGCTCAGGCAGGAAACCCTATACCATTTCAGACAAATGGTTGTCCTATCTCTTCCTAACAACTTCCACTGTTGTAGCATTCACAATTTCTGGAGGCAGGTTGTTCCACTGATTAATTGTTCTAACTGTCAGAAAATTTCTCCTTAGTTCTAGGTTGCTTCTCTCTTTGTTTAGTTTCCATCCGTTGCTTCTTGTCCTGCTTTCAGGTGCTTTGAAGAATAGCTTGACTCCCTCTTCTTTGTGGCAGCCCCTGAGATATTGGAACACTGCTATCATGTCACCCCTAGTCTGTCTTTTCATTAAACTAGACATACCGAATTCCAGCCACCGTTCTTTATATTGTTGAAGGAAAAGACTTCACCATGGTTCAGTCCATGGAAGCTGAGAATAAACAACATGGTGACTGCTTTAGAAAGAAGGTTGCAGTTTATTGAAGAGGAGAGCCAGACATAAAGATGGCTCTGGAAGAAAATAGAGAGAGCACATGTAGGGAGTGGGTTTTTATACCTTCTTGAGCCTTTTGTTTGGAGTTGTTGTTGTGGCATAAACTTTGACCTGAGTCTGAGTGTGCCCCTTTGGCATCTGTGCTTTAATCCTATTATGTCCTGTCTTAGAGTTTGGGTGGGGTATGTAGATTTTAGGTGTCTTCTTAATCTTCTAGCTTCAACCTTCCTGAATGGTTTACACCTCCATTTCTACAGAGCTGGTTTCTGCTTGGGGGAGGGAGACTTGGGGATATTAAGAAAAAAACTGGGCATGCTTTTCTGCCTCTTTAAGATCCTTTGAGGAAATATATTTTTCTGCCCTTTTAATATTTCCTTCTCTGGGGGGCTGACTTCCCACAATATGAAAGTTGTTTAGCTTTATAGCAGCCTGCCTCAATCTGCCATCTTCTAGATACACTAAAACCTTAACTTCCAGAATCCCCCAGTGAGCAGAGTGACTAGGAATTCAGAAAGTTCCAATCCCAGCATTTTTGGACAACATTAGGCTGGGAAATGGCCAAAACCATCATGTCCTTGTTCTCCTGAGGTTTGCACCTAGATCAGAGATGTTCAACTGGGAACATCTGGTCTTGGTGTAGGCCCCAATAGCCTCAAGTGTGATCCCCAAATCCCTTCCAACATGAATTGTGTGGGAGAACATATGATGATAAATCACAGCTATTCTTTACTTTGATTTTAACTGAATGTAAAAATGCATTCCATTAAATCTGAGGTTATGTTTGTCCTGGCCCTGACTACATTCTTCTCCTGGCCCAGTTGGGGTGTGATCCCCAGCATAGTGCTCCAAAGCCAATCATGGTCTTATTCAGTTCCAAAGAAGCTACATTTTTATCTTCCTGTCTCTTGAAAACAGCCTTTAACATGCAGGACTACTGAGGCACAACCATTGCTGGCTGATGAAGGTTTAAGAAGAATGGCTGTTACCAATGAATTCTATGAGCAGATCAGTGAGGAGCACCTGAAGAACTTCTTCTTCATTGGTCGAGGAGCTTTTGGGGACATTTTCCGAGCTCGGCACAAAGAGTGGGGGACCGATGTTGCAATCAAGTTTCTGAACCGGTAATAGTGGTTGTTTGGAAGTTGTTTGAGTGCAAAGTGAAAGTTAGATCTCTTCTTTTTCTTGTCTGACAAAAATATATAATCTGTAGCTCCCACAATCATATGTGGACTTCAGAACCTTTGATATGGCCCTAGAGATCTTCAAACATTGTTCCCATATCGTAAGTTTGAAAGGGACAGTGGGGGAAGTGATTAAATATAGGACATGAGGGCAAGTTGATAATTGTAGAGTACCCCTTTACTTGGATGTCTCCTCAAGAGGCATCCAAAGAGGACAGTTTCCAAGTAATGGATCCTATCAGGGATCAGAACAATCAGAACCCCAAGTTTCCCATGCCAATTCGGGATCTTGATTATTACTTCTTTATGAACCCCATCTCATGTAAAGGAATACAGTACAGGCATGAGTAAGCCATTAAGGGGATAAGGAAGGACCAAACTTTTACAGGAGGCCTTACAGAAAAGATGTAAGGCCTGGGAATGAAGGGAGTGTGAGGGGGAAAAAAGCTCAAAATAACCCCGATTTGATTTTGATTACTACTAAAATGGGACAGAGAAAAACTTGGAGAGTTTTCAAGATTCTGTTATACTACTGAGCTACAACAAATAGCATTATTGGAATCCCTAATGTACTTGCTTCTTGACCTGGCTTATACTGGAGGGTGCTTTCAATCTTGAAAACTTTTCTGCAAGTCCTCAATTAATAACAAGCTCCTCCCTTCCTCCAGATCAACTCTGCTATTGCTTAACATCACCTTGCTTTCATTGCACCCACAATAATCCTCCAACAGAATTGAAATCAGAACTGAAATTCCTATACTTCCTGCAGGAACGCTTCCTTCACTCGAGAGGAACTCTTGAATGAAGCCCGTGCCATGGACAAAGCCCGCTTCACCTACATCCTACGACTCTTTGGCCTCTTCGTAGGCAAAATACAGACAGATGCTACCTTGGTGTCAGCCATAGCGCCCAGTTTGGGCTTGGTGATGGAATACATGGAGAACGGCAACTTGTCCCAGTTAATGTGTCAGGTCCCCACCATGCCTTGGGCCCTGCGTTTCCGCATTCTGTATGAGGTAGCCCTGGGGATGAATTTCTTGCACAATCTCAGTCCTCCATTGTTACATCTGGATCTTAAGCCTAGCAATGTCTTACTTGATGGGGAACTGCATGTCCGGGTGAGTTTTCCCATTTCTAAAGTTCTTGGCTCCCCCAGAATTTCACAGTGTCAGGATTTGAGGAGTATTTGGAATTCCTCTGGTCCAGCCCACTTCCTAGTTCAGGGGTCCACAGCCCCTTGGCCAAGGAAGTGTGCCTGCCTCTCACACAAATGGAGCAATTGCTGGCCATTCATGTAGAACATTTATGGAGATTCTCAGTCATCCAGATCATAGTTGTCCCAAAGATGCTTTTTCAGGAGGCAACTGGACTTTCTTTGTTTTCCTTTGAAGACGTTTCACTTCTCATCCAAGAAGCTTCTTCAGCTCTTCAGCTTCTTGGATGAGAAGTGAAACGTCTTCAAAGGAAAAAAGCATCTTTGGGACTCATGTGGAACCATCCACCCTTCCCCCCACCCACCAGTCTGCAAAACCGGACAGGTTGAAGATCTCTGTCCTAGTTTAAGAATCTATTACTACAACATTCTAGAGAGATGACCATCAAGTAGAGCTGTCCACAGGATGCTATGCTTTCACTGAAATGACAAAAGCAGCATTCCACCATTGTGAAACAACCACCATTTGTTTTGAACATACATGTGACATCCCAATGCATGTAAAGATGTTCAGAGCTTGTGTCGTGATGACACACCATCATCCTTTTGTCATTTTTACTCTCCCCCCCCTTGATACTCTGGTTCAAGTCTACCCTCAACTATGGATGCTTGTGGTGGAATGTAGTCTGGATTCCCAGAAAGGAGGGGCTGCATTTCATAGGACCAAAAAACAGCAAAATTTAGATAGTTTGGTTGGGAGAAAGTAGGTCAGGATAGCTCCTCCTTTAATGATGCAAGGAATTGCTTTACTATGGAATTATTCCTGTCTGCAACCGAGGAATAATAAGGGAAACTGCTTAAAAGTAACTTGTTCTTGGTGTTTGGAGCCTGACAATGTTCCTCTGAGCCACCTCTCTCAGATCACCCTACTTAAATGTCTATGGAGATTCTCAGTCATCCAGGTCATAGCTGTCCCAAAGATGCTTTTTTACAAGGCAAATGGACTTTCTTGTTTTTCTTTGAAGATGTTTCTCTTCTCATCCAAGAAGCTTCTTCAGCTCTGACTGGATGGTGGGGAATGGAAGGATTTATAATCTCTGCAGACAGCTGGTCATCTGCATTCTTTTTAGAGAGTCATTGAGGCCACCTGGAGGTTTATCTGGTTCCTCAGGGTCACCTGGGTAGTGCAAATGGGTGTGGAGACTTCTTGAAACTGCTGAAAGGACTATGTTGTAGACTGGAGATAGATGATGTCCTATCCCTCCCCCTCTGTTGAGAGAGGGCTGTTCAGTTTTGACATAGATGGCCTCTTTGACCCCTCTTTCAAACCAGTGGTCCTCTCTGTCCAAAATGTGGACTTTGCTGTCTTTGAAAGAGTGAGTAAAAGACAAAAGCTACTCTTTGGGACATCAGCCTACCTTGTAGGGGTGTAATTTGCAAAGACTACAGAAAAAAAGGTACCATGTCTGCTGCCTTGGACTCTTGAAGAAAAAGCAGAATATAAATTCAGTAAATATGTACCAGCATTCTTCATTTAGTCACTCGCTAGTATTATGTTGATTGAAAATGTACATCTGTAGCTTTTAAATCAGCAGAAGGCTGGAGAAAAATAGAAGACTGTTCTATTTGCTAACCTGTGTGATTATGATTTAACTTTGTTTGTAACCCGTATGCTTGGCATTTGTTAGCCACTGCTTATGTTCCATCCTCATTTCTGGCTCAGGTGTCGGATTTTGGTTTATCCAAGTTCAGGCGAGGAACTACTCAGCAATATAACCCCAGTTCTGGGGAAGAGGGCACCTATGGTGGGACCCTGGAGTTCATGCCTCCTGAATCCTTTTCTGATTTCAATTACAAGCCAGCCCGCAGCACGGATGTCTACAGGTGAGCTGGGTTGCCTCTAGGCTCCAATAAGGGATGCTAAATCCATGTGCACACCTCGGAGCTAAAGTTGGTTTGGAATTGATTTTCATTTGAAAGCAGAAGATCTAGCTGGGGATTCTGAGATCTATTCATGGGTCTCCCTTTTATTTGCCTACAACTGGCTTTCCATAACATGGAGTTTTTCATTTTATGATCAGCTCACTATTCTATTTCCTTCTATCCTTTTGGCTGAATTTGAAGTTCAACTAATAGAGAAAAGAACAGCTAGGCAACCTGAATGGGCTACATGGGGTCAAACGTAATTCTTGGATGGGAGACCACCAGGAAATCTGAAATCTACTTCCTTTTACTTTCAGTTATGGCATCCTGATGTGGTCAGTGTTAAGCAGTCAAGAACCTTACCACAGTAAGTCATTCTTTGCTTTGCTTTCTGCTTGTCCAAGATTTCACATGCATTATCTTTCCCAGGTAGACCACACAGGAAAGAGACCAGATGACTATTTCTGCTTTATTGAAAGGCTACAGTAATCAAATCTTGCAAATCTGATAGTACGTTAACAATTTCCATTTCCATTCCCTGCCCAGATCTCCACCATGCCAACATGAGTTCCATGATCAAGATGCATATCCCCCGAGGTCAAAGGCCACGGACGGAAGATCTGGAGAAGCAGGTCGATCAAGTGTTTAAGCTGGGAAACTTGATTGATCTCATGAGAAGATGTTGGTCTAATGAGAAGGGCCAAAGGCCGAGCTTCTGGGGTAAGTGAGATGCATGATGGCTGCCATCCCACATAATCCAAGAAACACCCCTTATTAAGAAGGGACAGGACACTCAATAGGAGACATATGCCCACCATCTTTCCCTTTGCTGGACCACAGCTTCTGAAGGCAACCCTTTCCACTGGGTAATTGTTCTCACTGTCAGGAGATTTCTCCTTATTTATAGGTTGGTTCTCTCCTTGATTGGTTTCCATCCATTGCTTCATGTCTTGCCTTCTGGTGCTTTGGAAAATAGGTTGACCCCCTTTTCTTTGTGGCATGTGGAAAAGACCTTGGAGGATGGAGCAAAGAGATACTGTCTAGGAAATGGTCAGATAAGAGACAGCATAACCCAAAGCTGTAAACTGTGTGGAGTAAGAGACTCAGAAGAGATCATTCCTAGTTTCTTCACGTGTAAAAATGATGTGGACAATTGTATTTTCAGACTTACAATGTTCTGTTAATGTAGCTTTACTCTAAAAGTGAATTATCTTATCTAGTTATGTTTCCTATTTGGTCTACCTGGTAGGGCTCACAGTAGCTGGGAGTCCATACCATTTGTAAAAAAAGGGCCATGATAGGTGGCATCAAGATGCAGAGTGGACAGGTCTCAGAGCCACAGAAGTGGGACAGTATTTGAATTTTTCCTGATTTTAGTAGGAAACGTGGGGGTCTCCTTCACAGATGAAGCCTATTGAAGCTCATGATACATTCTAGCAGCAATAGGTTGTTGGTTTGGGGACCTTGGGGGAGAAGGACAAGTTTGGGGTTACCAGGGATCTGGTGATAAGGGGCCCCCATTTCTAGGTCTGTAATCCCCAAAGTGGGCCTTTCATTGGAAGAACTAGGATAGCATAGTGGTGGAAGAGTTGAACTAGGACTGAAGAGCACAGTAAGCAAGGCCGTGTGTGTGTGTGTGTGTGTGTGTGTGTGTGTATACGTATACATATGTATATATGTAGATCACATTTCGCATGCCCAGATGGGCTCATGTGCTATATTTGCTCTTCTCCAAACACTGGACTGCCCTTTCATCCTTGGTAATTTGATGTCATGAAGGGTCCTTGGTGCTCTCTGGGATTAGTTGATTTCTTGCAGACATTTCATTAATCAAACATCATCAATGCTAGTGGGGAGTGGGGTTTGCTCTGACTTTATATTCTAGTGGCTTGCTCTGTCAAGGTTGGTGGGGGTGGTCTTAGAGGTTATTTGGTTGGGATGTTTACTTGTTGGCTTGTTTGGCGGTTCCTTGATTGGGGTATTGTTTACTTCTTGATTGTTGGTCTGAAGTTAATCTTAGTGTTAATCTATGCTCATCTGGGTGTTGATTGCTGGTGGAGAGGTGTTTTCATATGTTTGATTTTTGGCTTGTTGATGGTCTCTTTTGCACAGTATGTAGATGTTGTTTATGTCTAGGTGTCCATTGATGGACAGACTTGCAGTATTTCTCTAGCTTTTTATTACAGATAGTCCTCTCAACGAACACAATTGAGCCCAAAAATTCTGTTGCTAAACAAGACAGTTGTTAAGTGAGTTTTGGCCCATTTTACAAACTTTCTTGCCACAATTGTTAAGTGAATCACTGCAGCTGTTAAGTTAGTAACACAGTTGTTAAGTGAATCAGGCTTCCCCATTGACTTTGCTAGTCGGAAGGTCACAAAAGCTGATCACATGACCCCGGGACACTGCAACCATCATAAATATGAGTCAGTTGCCAAGCATCTGAATTTTGATCATGTGACCATGGGGATGCAGCAATGGTCATAAGTCACTTTCCTCAGTGCTGTTGTAACTTTGAACAGTCACTAAATGAACTAATTATTGTATTATTTTTTGAAGCCATTCTTTAATGAGCACCATCTCCGATCTGAACATAGACTGAGGGAGGTGAAGAAAGGCATGAATGTCCCCCTTAATCCTTTACTCATTCTTGTTTTTTCCCCCTGTTTCTCAGACTGCAGCAAAGAAATGGAAGATGTGCATTGCTGTTACAAGTGGAAAATTACGCCTGCTGTTCGTGAAGTCCAAGATATTTTGGTAAAGAATAAATTTTACAAAATGCATTCTTATGATAAGCCCCCAGAGGACAGCAGCGCTCCAGTTTTGCTGTTCAAAGTATTTCCATGCAAACTTGGTCCTATTTTTTTTTTCTTTTCTTTTTTTCTAATGCCATTATATTTCCTGGATGGCAATTTTGCTACATAAGCAATAGTGCTGTCCAGTCATGGAGTTCAAATATGTGAACAACCGGTTCTCTGTGTGGATGCCGCTTTCGGAAGTCCATTCGGGGCCTGGGCAACAAAAAAATAGCTACCAGTTCTGCCGAAGTGGTGCGAACTGGCTGAATCCCACCACTGGTTCTGTCTCATATGCATGAAATACACTTAGTCTTCAATTTACGACCACAATTAACTCCAAATTTTTTGTGGCTAAGCCAGCCATTTGTTAAGTGAGGTTTTGCCCTGTTTTACCACCTTTCGTGCCACAAATGTTAAGTGAATCCTTGCAGTTGTTAAGTCAGTAATACCGTTGTTAAGTGAAGGTGGCTCCCTCATTGGCTTTGCTGATCAGAAGGTCGCAAAAGGGGATCACCTGACACCAGGACACTGCAACCGTCATAAATGAGAGTCAGTTGCCAAGCATCTAAATAGCAATTATGAGAGGGATCTCGGAGTCCTAGTGGACAATCACTTATATATGAGCCAGCAGTGTGCTGAGGCTGCCAAAAAAAGCCAACACAGTGCTAGGCTGCATTTACAGAGGGATAGAATCAAGATCACGTGAAGTATTAATACCACTTTACAATTCCTTGGTAAGGCCACACTTGGAATATTGCATCCATTTTTGGTCATAACAATGTAAAAAATATGTTGAGACTCTAGAAAGAGTACAGAGAAGAGCAACAAAGATGATTAGGGGACTGGAGGCTAAAACATATAAAAAACGGTTGCTGGAATTGGGTATGTCTAGTTTAATGAAGAGAAAGATGAGGGGTGACATGATAGCAGTCTTCCAATATCTCGGGGGCTGCCCCAAAGAAGAGGGAGTCAAGCTATTCTCCAAAGCATCTGACAGGCAGGACAAGTAGCAATGGATGGAAACTAATCAAGGAGAGAGAAGCACCCTAGAACTAAGGAGAAACTTCCTGACAGTTAGAACAATTAACCAGTGGAACAACCTGCCTCCAGAAGCGGTGAATGCTCTAACACTTGGAGTTTTTAAGAAGAGACTGGACAACCATTGGTCTGAAATGGTATAGGGTTTACCTTGTTTACCTTGTTAAAATGAATTACCAATGTACAAATACTCCCCTATTCATTTCTTAAATTCTTTACAATCCATTTGCAATTCTGGGCCCTAAAATCCATGCTCTGGATTTCAGAGTAAAGCTGATCTCCTCATTCTTGTGTCTGCACCTTCATTTTTTTGTCTTATTCTTAGATGGATCAAGGTTTGCTTTGACATTTCTCTTGGGGCTGTTTTACAGTTTTTGTGATAGTTTTCACAAGGCCGTGAAGACATAGTTTTACCAATTGGAGTATGATAGAGCCCATACAGAGATTGACGTAATTGCTCCGATGAATGGCGTTAGGGACCAGGAGCTTTATGTATTTTATGATGTTTGTTTAACTATGCTTTTATAGTGTTTTTTTCTTCTTAGTTCTGTTGCTTTTATATTTGTTTTTGTTGTTTTTAAGCCTTCCAGAGTCTCTCTCTCTCTCTCTCTCTCTCTCTCTCTCTCTCTCTCTCTCTCACCAGACTATCCTTTGAGAGAGAGAGAGAGAGAGAGAGAGAGAGAGAGAGAGAGAGAGAGAGAGAGAGAGAGAGAAACAAAAAGCAAATAAATACAGTTAGTCCTCGACTTGCAACAGCATTGAAAAAGTGATTTATGACCATTTTTCACGCTTATGACCCTTGCAGCATTCCCATGATCAGGTGATTTACATTCGGATGCTTGACAACTGACTTACATGTATGATGATTGCAGTGTCCTGGGGTCATGTGATCACCCTTTGCAAGTCAGATTCACTTAACAACCATGTCACTGATTTAACAGCTGCAGTGATTCACTTAACAAATATGGCAAGAAAAGTTGTAAAATGGGGCAAAACTCACTTAACAAATTTCTCACTTAGCAACATAAATTTTGGGCGCAATAGTGGTCGTAAAGTTGAGGACTACCTGTAAATTGGAAGTTGCAGTGGTTTCTGTTGCTTAAGCCACCTCTTTCCATCTTTCTAAAAGCCTCCCTAACTGTCTACCTCTCAGTCTTAAAAATATCCACATCTAGTTGCTTAGCATTCCTCAGGATCTTTCCGGGCATCAAATAGAAGCCTGAGAAGCCAGGGAGACAGCCAGCCTATCATATAGCAAAAGGCAGGTGTATCCCTTATCCCCTTCTGTCCATGACAATTTCATGGAAATGGAAAATGAAATGAGTACTGATGGAAAATGAAATGAGTACTGATAGGGAGGAGAAATGCAAGCAAATAGATTAGATTACTCACTTGAGGACCATCTTAACCTGGAGGTCTACAGAGATTCTCAACCATCCAGGTCATGGTTGTCCCAAAGGTGTTTTTCCAAAAGGCAACTGTTTCCCCCCCCCCCCAAAAAAAGTCCATTTGTCTTTTAGAAAAGCACTTTTGGGACCTAATCTGGGGGGATTTTACCTCTTGCCTCCATTCAGGATCACTGTAGCTGGGTGTTCTTCCTGCCTTGCCAATTTGTCTTTTTTTTTTTTTCACTTCTGAAAGATGCAGAAAGAGAATTCTTCTATAACAGAAGCCAAGGTCCCTCCCGGTCTGAGTTCCAAGGGAGCCAGTCTTACCCCTTTGAGATCCGAGGAATACCGAGCATTCTCTCCTTCCTGTGGTTTGGAAGAACGTTTTAAAACTTTCCACCTAGAAGAAATGTCACCCGTGCAAAATGGCAAGTGCAATGTGAAAGGGGTGGGGTGGGGGATCATGCAACTTTTCTGCTTTTCTGGAGTTAGTTAACTGGAAATTGATCTGAAGACTGAAAAGCCTTTTTTTCTTAATCTTTGCATGAGTGATAAAAACTGAGTGCTTAGCTTTTAGCAATAGCAATATAACTTAAACTTATATACCACTTCATAGTGCTTTAGACAAAGCACTCTCTAAGAAATTTACAGAATCAGCATATTGCCCCCAACAATCTGGGTCTTCATTTTTACCAATTTCGGAAGGATGGAAGGTGGAGTCAACCTTGAGTCAGTCAGGATCAAACTGCTGACAGTCAGCAGAGTTAGCCTGCAATCCTGCATTCTAATCACTGTGCCACAGTTAGGCTTATATACCACCCATGGCACTTTGCAACACTGGGCAGTTTACAATGTCAAAACATTATTTGCATATTGTCCCTAACAATCTGAGTCCTCATTTTACCAACCTTGGAAGGATGGAAGGCTAAGTCAACCTTGAGCCCCATCAGGATCCAACTCCAGACTATGGGAAGAGTTTGCCGGCAATACTGCACTTTAATCACTGCACCAGCAGGGCTCTTAAGGAAATTCCCCCTTCGTTTTCTCCATTTTTGGTCCCACCTCTTTCTATTTCATTAGCTAGACCAAGATTTAGCAACCCACCACATGTATTATTCCAAGTTTTGTAGCTTCTTTCTCCCCTAAACCTAGACTGCATGGCCAACATTTGGCCTCCAAGTGAATTTTACCCCAAACCCTTCCTACAAATACCCCAAGATAGACCAATAATTTTGGTCTGAGCTCTGAAGACATCAATACATCATTCATTCCCACATTGTAGTTCCTATAGGCTAATGCTCTTTTTGGCCTCTGATCCAAAAAAGGATCCAACTTGACTCTGAGCCAGTCTCAGAAATTTCCACATCAGCCTTCCTGAACACTTGCCCTTCCAATCTCTTGAATTTAAATTATTCACAGGCCTTCCTGAATTGGAATGACAAGAAGTGATGTCCAACTGAAGTGAAAAGCTCTCATTATAGAAGACAGATCTGGAATCCAAGCATGCATTCTAATTCATATTTCATTGGACAATGGGAAGATGTTTCCCGAAAGATTCCCTCTGCTCAGTGTTTCCAACCACTTTGCCCAAATGGCCTCTTCATTCCACATCTGAATATTAATGAACCATAGTGATTGCTCAGTTACTGCTGACTCTTGTGGCTTAATAGACATCTTGTTGCCAGAATGGCCCATCAGTAACTAATCAAGGTTTTGTAAGCAACTGCTTATGTCATCAGTGATATCATCCAGCCAGTTTCCTCATTAGTAAAGCAGATTTGGGCTGCAAAAATTAGTAGAACCTCTAGATGGCAGCAAACGGCTAGAGATTCTCATGCTCCTTGCTGCCAGCTAGGGGACATTTAGATTTTTGTATCCTAGTATGGTTGCTTTGGATTAGGCCCGCATTTGATTGTGGGTTTTGTTTTGTGTGTGTGTGAGAGACAGACTGCCCATCAGCACTTGCTTCTTGGAGCTCTTGCAAGCTTTTGCCTATGTCATTGGAGACCATGACTAGCCAGCTTGTCTGTTGCTTTCAGTTTTTCAAAGTAGCAATGTAGTATTGGACTAAATCAAGAAGGGGCTATAAGGCCCAGAACTCTTTGAACTGATGTCAAGAAATCCATTGGAATTATTTCTCCTTCTCTTCCTTTTTTTACCACAATTTTTTTTTCTGCAATAAAGAAAAAAAATGAAGTACTAGTGAAAAAAGGATGACTTATGAATAAAGGACAGGGATATTTGGACCCCAGAATAAAACTGTATGTAGAACAAAGGGCATTTGTTCAATGAAAACCCTATGTGGAAGAACCCAGGATTATTTCAGTGGTGTAATTTCCTGAAAATTAGTTGTACAATGGATCAAATTCATGCAGCCTATAAAGTAGAATGAAACTCTTGCTTATCTCGACACATGAATCCAGTCGTTGTGACTAGCATTTTAATTCAAAGCACTTTGCTTCTTAAATAAAAACTGAAGTGGAAGCCGCCAGCCTAGAAAACCATGAAGATGATCCAGTGAATGTGAAGAATTTTACTAAGCCAATTACATTTTATATTTAATATTTCAGAATCAAGACTATCTAGGAATCTTTTGATTAGGCCTGCAAGATACCAAGTTACCTCTCACATATCACCCAAAATCATAATGGGTTTCCTCTGATTTGGCTTAGGAAAATGTGTGAATCAAGCCATCATGGTTAATTCGAGTCATTTTGTGTGAATTCTACCATTCTGGTTTACAAATCGCATATAATTGCTATAGCCAGTTCGTGGTATTTTTTTTAATTGATTGTGGTGCCAACAAGTCAAAGATTTTATCAATGATACTACATGGAATCATGACTAAAATATGCTTTAGTTAAATGTACTGTGAGGAGCCAAATGCTGTAATTTATAGATTAGCATATTGTGTGACTTTAACTATTGTGGTTTCTAAGCCATGATTTTTGTCTTAAGGTGATATATAGAGCCAACCATTGTGATTAATTCAAGAATCCATGGCTAAAACAAATAAAGGATAAGTGGGGTGTATAATCGTTGCTTTTTTCCCATTTCAGAAGCTATACCACCAAAAGTCGTTTTAAGGAACAAATCTTCTGGGACCCTACACCGAAGTAAAAGCATGTGTTACAGGAATGTAAGAATATCATTATTAATTTAATCTTTCATGCCAGGTAGAATAGAATAAGCTAGAGAGAGAGAGAGAGAGAGAGAGAGAGAGAGAGAGAGAGAGGGAGAGAGAGAGAGAGAGAGAGAGATTCAAACTAGTGACAAACTTAGCTGGAAACCCTGCAGTTCTGATCAAACCCTTGATCAAGATTGGTATGGAAAACAGTGAGTGACTAATGTCCCATGAACCACTACCAAGAGGGCCCATGTGTAAACTGATATGCTGAAGCTCTTGTTCAATCATATACAATAGCTGGCATAATCAAACTTTGCTCAATATGCCGGGGGCTGTCTCAAGCCTATTTGATCTAATCCAAGATGGTGGCTATGATTGCAGAACACCTTTGAAGACAACAGCTCTCACACCAAGCCTGTAAGAGTAATGGTCATTGGCTGGGAACCAGGAAAGGAAGCTGAGGCTGTTCCTTCTATTGAAGGAAGAAGCATAAATGTGAACAGGCTTTCTCTAGGGGGCTGACATGGGCAAGGAATCACTTTTTAATTAGCCTAATGGTTTGTTTTTCAAGAAAGATGAAGGGACAGAGCAGGAAAACCCTCATGTGTCAGAGGTCCAGACTCCACAAAGGACCACACTCAGAGGTATTTTTTTCTGTCTTGTTTGGGGAGATCTACTCATCTTTGCTCACTGGAGCTAAGAATGAAACCAGGCATGCTACCCCTGCACAGTGAGACCATCATGGAACTATTATCACCTCTGGCCTTACTTGCAGATTCTTTGTATAACAGAACTTGTTCCATAGCAGGAAGAATGAACAAATGACTATATATACATAACCATGTGTTTGTGGGTGTGGATGCATATACAAACAGACATCTGCTCTATCAGCAAAGGATAGCTGTTAGCATCTTTCCTTTGGTTGACTCTCTGTTACCATGATTGTAATGGCCATGGCAGTTGCCAGAATATCTCTACTGAAATTAAGTGTATCTGTGGCCTCATTCAAACTACACTTCAGTTGTAGTTTGCCACCTCATACCTGAATCAAAGTTTGTTGAGGATGGGGAGGAAGATGGAGAGTTATGATAACTTTTCAAAAGTAGTTAGATTCAGAATAACAGAGTTGGAAGAGACCTGGGACGTCTTTTAATCCAATCCCATGCTCAAGCAGGAGACCCTATACTATTTCAGACCAATGGGCTGTCCAGTGACATCTTAAAAGCCTCCAGTGATGGAGCACCCACAACTTCTGAAGACAAGCCATTCCACTGGTTAATTGTTCTCACTGTCAGGAAAATTCTCTTTAGTTCCAGATTGCTTCTCTCCTTGACTAGTTTCCATCCATTGCTTCTTGTCCTGCCTTCAGGTGCTTTGGAGAATAGGTTGACCCCCTCTTCTTTGTGGTAGCCTCTTAAATATTGGAACACTGCTATCATGTCACCCCTAGTCCTTCTTTTCTTTAGATTAGTCATACCCAATTCCTGCAACCATTCTTCATATGTTTTAGCCTTCAGGCTCCTAATCATCTCTGTTACTCTTGTCTGCACTCTTTTCAGAGTTCAACATCTTTTTTATACTATTGTGACCAAAACTGGATACAGTATTCCAAGTCTGGTCTTACTAAGGCTTTATAAAGTGGTACTAATAGTGCTTTATAAATATTAATACTAGGGATCCTGACCTTTAGTTGGTATTCTTGGTCATGCTGGCTGGGAGGATTAGGGATGTTGAAGTCAACACATCTGGGAAAAGAGTGAGAAATTTCACTTCTCCAAACAATTTGGGAGAACTTTTCAAGAGGGTTGTATTAATTCCTTTTCTCTTCCCCCACCCCCTTTTAAAACAGGTAATAAGCAACGGCCCCATTCAGATACATTTGCTTCTCCAATATATCCAAATTATCCTGCATACCATCATTATCCACCGGTAAGTAAATGAGAAATACCAGGAAGAAGATTAGGAAAATATGGAGACAAGCATCCTTAACAGATCTTCTCTGAATCTCTCTTGCTTACTTCCACTAGGGTTCTATGAATTTGATTCCCCACCATTTTCTTTCAAAAATAGGGACACAGAATATTGACACTGAGATTCTAAGAGTCCTGTTGGATCCAAGCATCATAGTTTAGTGTCCTGTTTCCATGGTTGTCAAACTGAAGCTTCGTGGAACTTTCTCTCATCAGGGAAAACAGTCTATAGCTTTGTTCAATCAGAAACACTGAACCAATTTAGTGCTCCCAAAGGTCCACAAACAAATACACACAAATGCAGCCTGCACAATTACCTCATTCTTTAGCCAAAGGAATTTCCCTGCAGAACTTGCAGTTCATTTTTTAAAAAAAGTTAATCTTTGCTCTCTGGTTTACACATGACACAAAAGGAGATAGGAACATAGAGGGCAAAGAAAACAAAAATCAGTTTACCACTTTACATTTCTTACAAGGACCACCTGGGATGATGATGATGATGATGATGATAATAATAATAATAATAATAATAATAATAATAATAATAATAATAATAATAATAATAATAATAATAAAGTTGGAAGGGACCTTGAGAATCTATGGGTTTAAGATTCCTTAATTTTTAGTGATCCAAATCAGATCCCTAGTGATTAACAGCTTTTTTTGTCAACAAACTAGATCATTCATTCATCCATCATCCACCCATCCAATTTGCTCCTATCCAAAAAGTCTTTGGGTGGGTACAACACGATAAAAGAAAAACAGAGTATGGAAAATTGCACTCAATTTTTAAAATCAATGAAGCTTTAACAGGTTATGTGCTATTATGGCAGAATCATCTAAAGGAGGGGAGCCCTCTAGGGTGAGGTTTGGAGTCAATCTGGAGAGGGGGAAAAATCTGAGGTCAATCCCTTAGGTCTATATCTGCCATTTCTCAAAGGATAGTCTGGTGAGATTCTTGTAATATAGGTGATCAGCAATAAAGTATGTACCTGGACCATTCACAGAATGGTTCTGGCTGTTTGTGCCTGACAGCTATTTAATTAAACAAACCAAAGGGCCAAGCACCTCCTGGAACAATCTTGCTTTGACTAGATTTCAAAGTACCTCTAGACTCGGGGGCCATCTGTATATTTGGGGAACGGATGGGGCAGTAAGTTGCATAAAATGGCATTGGCTGATAAACAAGCGATCTCATAATTCAGTTTTCTTTGTTTATAAGTGATGCATATTATATGTGCCCAAACTCAGATTTCATTGTTAAACTGAATGATTCCAATGGTCCAATTCTCTCTCATCTTTCTACACTCTGCACATTACATGGGGCCGGAATATTGAGGGTTTCTTTAGGATAAATGTTGCATTGAAAGTGCTATCATTTGTGACAGTTAGCAGTTTTGGAACTATGTGAGATCAGTGGCTGATGGTGAGAAGGATGCTGTATTTCTTGAAAGATCAGCTTTAAAAGGAAGATTGTTTGCTACCCTTTCTGCTCTCCCAAAGATACAGAAGAAAGCAGTTTTATTAGAGTGTATTTCAATAGAATTCATTTAGATGCAACACACCTCTACTGCAGCAGCAACCCTCCCTGATGGAAATGCAATCCTCTGTAAAAAGTAAATTTAAAAAAGGGCTGAAATCACATATAAGGTTATCTGAGTTCATGGGATCCCTGGGTCTCCACATGAGATCTCAAGAGGATTTAAATGAGAACATCCACAATTTGAAACAGAGCCTGCGAGATCTTGCAAAGGTGGAATGGTGAGATTACTTAGCACGTTGCATGAACTCAATCCTTTGTGGTTTATCAAATAAACCATAATTAAGTGGCACTCCTTAATAGCCCTGATGCTGTTACCTAATTTGGGTAATGAAGTGTCTGCAAGAAAACAAGCAAGCTCAGAGAGCTACGAATATTCTCCTTTATTGAATCAGTTTTGAACTGATTTTTTAAAAATCCATTTCAAATTGGGTCATCAAGATGATATAAGTGTATAGTCAATGGTCAATGGTCAACTTTTCAGTTCCCATTCACATTCATCCATTTTTTTTAATCCGAACATTTTTTCCCCAGCAATTTTATGGTTCCCACCAAGGTGATATTGGATTTGCCAGGCAGAATCAGTCATTCCTGTGGCATTCTACACCTGCAGTTTCCTGTGAGTAAAAGCAAATCTTCCCAAAAAATAACCAAACAACCCCTGTAAGATGTTTCTCTACTTAACCTGATTTTTAACAAAGGTGATTTTTTCCTTGACTTCCAGATGGTGGAATTCAAATCAGTGGCAACAGCGTCACAGGAGTTCAGATCGGAGGTCAGAACCACATGCATCTTGAACAAACTTCTAGGACAAGACAAAACACTAACCAATGAATGCTGATAGAAAATAGACAATTTCATTCTTGTCCTTGGGAGCATTCCAGCCAACTCCACTTGCCTTCTCTGTTGTCCCTGATTTTTCTGTGCAATCCCTTTAACTCAATCTAATCTAGCTATTTCCTAGAAAGATAGAATCACAGAATAGAAAGGGTGGAAGTGGCTTAGGAGACCGTCTATTCCAGGTATCTCTAAACTTGGCAACTTTAAGACTGGTGGACTTCAACTGCCAGAGTTCCCCAGCTAGCTTGGCTGCATCCTGCATGGATGGCCATCCAGCGCCTCTTGAAACATCTCCAATGAAGGAGAGCTCACTGCCTCCCCACTGTCTGTTTTTGTTCTTGAACAGCTTTTGCTGCTAAGAAACATCTCTTTTTGTCTAACAAAATTCACTTCCTTTTAATTTCAACCTGTTGTTTTTGGTCCTGCCCTTAGAACCACACTGAATAATCCTGTCCCTTCTTGTACAGCAGTGGTTCTCAACCTGTGGGTCAGGACCCCCATTTGAGGTCGATCGACCATTTCACGGGGGTCGCCAAGCAAGGCTGTCCGCCTTTTTTTTGTCCGCCATTTTTTTTGTCCGCCATTTTTTTGTCCGCCATTTTTCCCCCTTTTCCGGCGGGTGCCTTACCTCCCTTGGGCTGGGCCAGCTGGTGGTCGGCCTGCTCCGTCTCTGCTGCTTGCCAGCTACGCCTCAGCTGGCGCAGGGGGCGGAACCATGCATGCATGGCGCTCCCGGGCAGGGAAAGTCCTCGACTTATGACCGGTTGGGTAGTCCTTGACTTACGACCAGTTTAGTCCTCGACTTACGACCAGTTTAGTCCTCGACTTACGACCGGTTGGGGCCGCGGCATTAAAAAGGTTGAGAACCACTGTTGTACAGGATGACCATTTGGATACCTGAGGAGAGCTACTATGTCTCTTCATAGTCTTCTCGCTGGTCTTCCTATGAAGGTGCATGACTAATCCTCAGCTCTGATGGGAAGCTGGATTAAGTCATGCACTCGATTCCTCCCTTCCCACCTTGACCGGTTGAATTCAGACATAGTGCTTTTCCTTTCTTTCTGTCAAATACTGGGATGGACTGATCTGAATTTTTGGGGGTAAATGTTTTCTTCTTGTAACCACAATTTCAACAATCTCTGTCAATGGCCAGGACCCAGGCTTCAAAGCGAAACAGGTGAAAGCTTAAACGAGAAATAATAATAAATTTTGGGAAAGAAAGGAGCATCGTCAAACCATTCAGTGATAAACTGAACTCCTTAACAGTTTATGGCAACTTTTTTTTTCTGAATAAATCTCTAACAAATTGCTGAAAATAAATGGCCACAGTTCTCGCTATTTTGCAGAAAATCATTCTGTTCAAGAAATGGGCGCTCATTCTGGATATATGCAAAGCATGTGGGATCCTTGGTGCTCTCTGAGCTTGGCTGTTTTCTTGTGGATGTTTCATTACCAAACTATGTAACATCATCAGTCCAAAGCAAACTGGATTTGTGTATGTCTGTGTCTGTGTTACTCAGGTAGGCTTTCAGAAGAATCAGCCTCGAAGTTGTGAGTTTTCAGAGATTCTTCTCCAGTCAAAGGTTATACTGATATTAAATATTCAAAATGGTGGGTCCACTCACATACTGTGGGAAGTTAGCCCAGAGAAGGAAATATTAAAAAGGCAGGAAAAAATATTGTTCACCAAAAGGATTTTTAAAAGCATTTTTTGAAAAGCAGAAACCAAACCTGGCCTCATCTCTTTGCCCAGGGCAGTAGCTAGTCTTATACATATGCAGATGTGGAACCATCAGGAAGTTTGGAGCCAGGGATCTCAAGACAAAAGAAGCTCTTAAGAGTCATTAGCCCCATCACTTGGGAAGCAGGATATGATAATGGGATTAAACCACAGATATCAAGGCCTAGAAAAACACTCAGAAATAGCCTCAAAGTTCATGCCACAGGAACAGGAAACTACTCCAAGCAGGGCTGGGAGGGGGTATAAAAAGACCTTCTGCCCATGTGCTCTCTCTCTTTCTTCTCCTCTGCTGCTTCTTGCAAGGACCATCTGTCTT